AATTAAAAAACTAAATATCTGCAACATTCCATTATCAGAAAATGAAGAATACGACATTTGATGAATTCTTTCGATGTATTCGTTATTAAGGGTTTCACTGTATGATAAAAAAAAAAAAAAATATTAATGCTGTAAATACAAAAGATACAATATTAAATATTGAGGAAAAAAAGTTCAAAAAGAGAAAATATTAAATGTTGAAAAACCTAAAGATTTTAAAAACTGTGGGTCTGATCCATTAACCCATGTTATTACAATATCTACATCTGGAGTAGAAACTGAAACCTTAAAGTGCGTTAATTTTTATCATCAATTATTTAATTATACATTAGTGTTTATTATGAATAACTGTCACTAATCAAAAACAACTTAAATTGATTTTGATATCATTATCAGCAAAAAACTATCTATACTCTATAGCTTTTGTTTTTTATTTTGAACATTTTCAATCACGGTATCATTGTTGGAATATTTTTTATATATATTTTTTAACATATCAAGCAATTACAGCACACGATCTGCTTTTCATAACTATCATTGCTATTAAAGTTATGTAATACAATCTATGCAAACTGTGAAATTGTAATTTTTGTGTTAATCTTAAAGGGACTGGTATAGGAATTTCAAGTGATCCTTCGATCCATCAAAAAAGAGTTGCATGTTGGATTCACAAGGTAACTTTATCCTTAGTTACAAGGTTCCTAGGTTCTGGGTACACTTTATCCTTAGTTACTAGGTTCCTAGGTTCTAGGTACACTTTATCCTTAGTTCCTAGGTTCCTAGGTTCCTAAGTACACTTTATCCTAAGTCTGTTCAAAAATTATTGATCTTCTTTTTTTATTCGAAAATTGATAATTTTTCATTCAGGTTTTCCAAAAATTTTTTTTGCAGATTTATGCAGCGAAGACAATGAAGAAAATTAAGAGACCGATCGAAAACTTTTCAAGGCGTAAATATGATAATGCGGGGATAAAGAGGGTATTGACTAGCACAGCTGAGATCAATTATTATGTGATCCATACAGTTCAAGGATATCAGCCTAGTGTTTACACGTACCAGCACGTCTAGTTTACCCAGTCTGTAATTGACTAACTACCTTTTTCTGCAATAGCATCTCCATGTGGGCTAAAGCCAAATGGACTTTGGAAATGAATGGTACCAGCCCGTATAGTGTACCCAGTAGGTACTTGACCCACTGCGTTTTTCTGCAATAACAGTGGACAGGCTGCTCACCATGTGGGCTAAACCCGAATGGAATTTGGAATTAAATGGTAACAACATTTTTTCTTCATTTGATGTTATTAGTAATTTTTTTATTTTAAACATCAGATAAAACACTCCCTTTAAACAACTAAATGTAAATTTAAATGTTTTGCTCAAGGGTGTAATGCAAGGAAAGTTAATTGCGGTCGTGTATACTCTGCGTACACATTGAAACCAGTTCTCTTTGGGCGGAATTTGTAAACAAGAATAGATGCATCAGTGTTCGTTTAGTAACCGAGGAGGTTAAAAGCATTAAATTTTGATATTTTTGATAATTCACATAATAGTTTCCTATGACCAGAATATTTCATTGATTTTTTTTATGTGAAAGATGGATCCCATGTCAAGCTTTGACATCCGTCTTATGTTTACATTACCGCCCAGAGACAGTAAACTGCAGTGCAAAAGATGTGTACACTTCTGAAATAACTTTCCTTGCATTGTAACCTTGGTTTTGCTGAACAAATGAGGGGTCATTTAAATTTTGTCATTCCTTTAAGTGATTTATGCATATATATATATAATATTTTGAATTTTTATTTCATTTTTTACCTTTTTTGAGGCTCTATTATTTTCAAATTGTAGATAGTTGACTAGTATGAAGGTACTAAAATTAATGGAGATTAATGTTAAACTTTTTTCTACGTAAAAAAATGTTCCTTTTTACCTGAGAACAAAGGAGGAAGAGATGAGAAAAGAACTTGAAAAGATACATTAAAACTTTTTTTTCTTAGAAAAGTGTTGTATGTAGAAGTGTAATAACTGTCACTTGTAAAACTCATTGAAAAATACCAAAAATTATGGCGGAAAAATTAAGAAAAATTATTTACATGTGAAACATGTTTTTTTTTCAAGGTATTTCCAAATTGAACGAATTCTTAATCTTGCTCTGTGTATCTTGATCAAATTGTTTTTTTTAAATTGTCAGCCCCCCCCCCACCAGCCTCCCACTGGGATAGGATCAAAAAGCAAAGTGAATAGAGAAAATAAGTTTTATTTCCTGAGCAGAAAATAGTTGCATCTGATATCTCTACCAATATTTAATCAATAAAGATGTTTTTCTTAAAGATTTCATGTTTACTAAAAAATAACTGAGATCGGTCGGAACGTATGTGCGGTTCGTGTAAAAAACTTGATCTCGATATCCTATATGGGCCCTCGTAAATCTGAGTGTTAATGCTTGATTCTTCAATTAAAGTTATCCCTGCAGGTTAAGACCATCATGGGATATCGACGAGGAATTAGATTAATCCGTCTACAGAAGATGGAGATTAAACCTTAATCTCGAGATTAAAAACATAACAGTTCTGACTTCAGAACTGGGAACTGGGAACTCATAATCTCAATATCTTTTAATATTAGGATCATTGTTTAATCTTTTCATTTCAGTTATTCTCCAAGGTCCTCGATTACCATGCAGAATATCCAATAAAGTTTAAATTAGTCTGCAGATTAACCCTATTTGGCCTGGGGGGGGGGATCAAGTTGACCCCCCCCTCATTTTTTTGCGATAACTCAAAATGTCTGGCTAACACATGCCCCTCACTCAAAGCTAAAAACTGGGCTTTTATACCAAACCTACTGCCTTGAGTCCTCAGACATGCTGCCTGAATGCCTTATTTTACCTATGCCAGACTAAATCTATATTTAGACCTAATTCCTGTCATTGGATTTCAACATGTTATAGCTCTTTGGAAAGCCTTTACCTAATGCAAACAGATTGTCAATATTTGCAAAGAAATTTTGCACAGATTTTTGCACAGACGCCTTCAAGGGAATTGGCACATTTTCAGTTTTACTTAAATACACAAATAGGTTTTTTGCAATTTTCAAATTTTCTTGCAGATTCGAATTCGCTGGGTCAAGGGCTTTTCAAAATGGATAATTTGTTGCAATTTGAGCAATTTTTTGTGTTGCACATTTTTTCCTTAATAACTAGATTTCGCAATACTAATCGGATTTGTGCAACTTTGCTATTTTGCAGGATATCGAAGTAGAGCCCAAGGGCTTTCCAAAAACGTATCAAATGATTTAGATTTGTATCACAATAAGAAAATAGAGCAGGAGGGGCAATTTGGGGGGGGGGCAGGCAGTTAGTCAGTATAATCAGACGTGAGGCTGAATAGGGTTAACACAAGATCAAGATCAAGCATTGATCTAGATATATAAAATACAAGAGCTCATCGATTTGATCATTTGATGTTTCAAACTTTGACTCGATTTAATTGGTGAGAGCTCAGAATCTTTATTTTTAAATATCAAAGGTCTACGATATCCGATTACAAAATTATATTTATAATAAATTAGAATTTGAGGCAAGGCAACAATTGGGTTAAATTAACCTAATATGATTTCCTAAAATCATTTTGTAATTCCATCATGAAAGGTGATTGAGTTAATTTCTGTTATCTGAAAATAATATATTATGAAAAAATATGTCATCGGTTACAATGCTGTATTTTTTTTACGTTCCGAAAGTTTTTTTTTTGCAAGTTTTTGCTGAAAAACAGACCGCAAGTACTGCAGGGGGGGGGGCTAATTATAATTATCGTAAAACATTGACCGTAAAATGGAATTTCGGGACAGGATATTTCGGGAAATTAACCGTCGGAAAAGATTTCCGCCGAAACTCCGCCAAAAGTTTTCTTTTCCGACGGTAAATTTCCTGAAATAACCAGAGATATCCATCCCTCTTTGTTCTCTTATGTAATCAGAGAAATCTTGTATATCATGTTGTGGTTTAACCTTGTGTTTGTTTATAATCTAGATAGATTTTCATTAAGAAATACACAAATTCCATTTTTGACGCTTTCATTTTAGCGATTTATAATCTTAACAAACCATAATTAATAGTTTATTTTTTTCACTTCAGGGTTATTTCACTATTATATTATAGAATTCAAAATCTATTTAGCGATGTATGTATAATGTATATTTAAAATTTATATAGTTTCTTGAATAATGAACTATACTACTGCAAGCTTGTTAAATAATTACTGTTAAGTATCTATACAGATGTTTTACTTAGTCAATAATATGCTGGGATTGAACTTACTGAATTGAAGAGGTCACTCAACTACCTACAGCCGTTTCAAATCATGTACTACCGATTTAAATCCTCATGAATCTTTAGCTTTGACTAAATAATTCAAATTTGAACCGGCAGTCGGTAGTTTATTGACCTATCTCAAATTAACTAAATTCAGTCTCGGAACTTTATTGGGCCGGCTGCAAAGATGTCAGGATTAGAACATCAGATTTTATTGTAAAAAATCATTTTTTGTTTGTCTTGTTTTTTTTAGACGGAAAATATCAGCAAAATTTATTTTAAACACTGCTAAATGAACCTTCCCTTTTCTCCGGCAACTTTTATACTTTCAATTGATTTATTGGAATACTCCAACTCATTTGACAGTTTTAAGATTGATTGAACAACTTGCGGATTTTTTCTTTTTTGTTCGTAGATTTTTGAATTTCTTTAGATACAAATCAATTATTTTTTCTGTTATGTTTACACATGCTAAAACTAGAAGTACTCTCAGTCTAAAAATTCAACGTTCAATAAACGCGTCAAAAATATATTTGTATAACCTTTAAATATACAATAACATGATTGTGTTTCCAAAAATAACTCTTGGAATTTATAGTGTCGCATTTATTTACTTGTTATGGTGACATAAAAACATCATCAACAAAAAAAGCAGAAAGATCAGAAGTATTATTTTTGGTCCGTTTAGACATAAGAAAACTCTCCAGAGGCCGAATTTAAAGAATTTGAGCCGCGGCTAAAATTTACGACGCGGCTTAAATTTGGTTGGTTTCACTTAAAAGTGCATTCAATGTTTCAAGATTTATGCAAGCGCTCAATTTAAACCGGTTATTGGCGGATTTGATACGCGGCTCAAATTCATTAAATTAAGACTCTGGAAGAAGTGTTTCATTTATTATAACGTTGATCAACTTTTAAAGCTATTATTAGTCAATAAAAGATCATTTTTATAAAAACATTCAATTTTTTAACAAAAAATTATGAAAGTACTAATATTGGTTTTGAGTAAATATCGATTGTACAAATTGTAGAAAACGTAGGTGTATCTACGGCTTTGCTCTGAACTTCTCCATTTTTAATTTTCAAGTACTAAATATCAGCTAAAAACAGAATTATAATTTACATGAATAATTAATTTGAACAGTAGTAACATTGATGTGTATCCGTTTTTAAACATTCTAGTTTATTTGGCATTTAAGGGAAACCAGGTAAAAATGACCTCAACACAGTTCTTGGCAGAAATTTATTTTCTAATGCAAATGATTGTTCTGTAAATCCTTCGGATCTTAGTAAAATGTTAGTTAAGAAACAATTGAAATATTTTGATGTCCCATTGGAACATGCATGGAAAGTTCCGGTTTTACAAGAACTTTTAAATACAAGAATGAATAATTTATATGTTGAAGGATTCGATGATTACGTAATAACTGAAATGATAAATATGTTATGTAGTGAGTAAAAATCAATGTTTTCTATTTGTGCATAATTTTGCATATTTTTTCTCTTTTCTATCGGAAACCTGTATTTAAAAAAAAAATTATTTAAACAAATTTAAACTACATCATTTATATATGTATTTATATCTTTGTGTGTGAATAAATCTTTATAATAAATTGATCTGAGATGTTTAAACTATTTAAACGATTTATTCAAAACAATTGGTAAAATCGTTTTGATGAATCGTTTTGGTCAGAGAAAAAAATTGCTTAAAGCAATAAAAGCAAACATAAAGAGAATATCTCAGATTTTTTAGAGCACCTGTCGAGCAAAAAACCATGATTTTTTTGATTTTTTTCATAAGTGTATCCGGATAAAGTTCCCTAAATCTTTACCGTAAATTATTTTCAAACTTAGATTTCTAATAGATCAAATTTATACTCATAGTTTGAAATATTAAAGTTTTCGCGGTCAGGTTAAAATATAGGGATTAGAAAATTTGAGTTTAAGGCAAGAAAGAACTTAAGTCTTTGTAACAAAATCAAATTGTCTAATTTCATCCAGCATAATTCACGGTTTGATAAATCAAAAGTATTCGCCATCGAGCTGCAAAGATATAGGATTTTAAAAAATTATAGTTTGTGGCAAATACTCCATTTCTTGCCAAATACACGAAAATCCTTCTTGAACGTACTAAAATGAAAAATCGACAACTTAAAAACCTTCCTTTAAATCCACAAATACTACCTTTAATAGGGTCCGATAAAGCCAAAGAAACTGAGTTTTTGCCGCCAACGGAGACCTTATACTGTTTAATAATACGTTTGAAATAATAAATTTGTAAACCATCAGTATGCAAAGATAGGGATTAGAAAACTTGAATTTTGTGAAAACATTGATTTAGGTTTATGAGAATATATGTACTTCAACTCAGAAATGAATGAAACACTATGTTTCTAAAACAATTCTAAGATATTTTTTCCCCAAAGAAATTTATAAATCTTCACAATTAACAAGTAAATATGTTATTGTTTGGTTTAAAGAGTTCTATGTGAACTATGTCAAAATAATACGTTTGTTCAAATGAAAGACGACATTTAATAAATGCAAGCTGAGGATATGAAGAATTGTTGGTTGAGGAGACATGGCTTCTGATCTTGTCTCCAGAAACTGCAGAGGTTCAGTGTACCTTAAAAATGCATTAGTTACCAGAAAACAATGGAATTACTAACTTTTTAAAAAGTATTTTACTTGACCGATTGTTTCTTTAGTGGACACTTCTAACAAAGGAACAATTTCTGATTTTCAAATCCTTGCAACAGGATGTTTTATGAATAAAAAACCGGTATACAATTTGTTCAAAAACGATATAAAATGTTCAAATGTTTAAATATATCTCAACTGTATTAGGTTGAAGTTGATGCAGACAAATATTTATGTAAACACTGCTCTGCTATGTAAATATTTGCATCACAAATCCGCGAAACAAAAACTTTGATCCTTCAATTTTAGGAATCCTTCTACTAGCCTCAAGAGGGGAGGACACCGGTTCATTTTATGTATAGGACCGATTTTTCAGAAGCTACATGCAAGCTGTGCAATACGTATACAGACAATATCAGGAAAATCAGGACGGTACACCAAATGAATCTGCACCTTCTATGGAGTTTCTACTGCGTAGATACGATTTAAAAACTAATTCTTTAAACCTTTAGGATAAATGATATATCCTTGTTTTCCCACCTACAAATTGATTGATTTTAGTTGCTTTCTTAGTAATAAGGACTTTCAAATTTATGCTGAAGAAACAATGAGAAAAAATAGCTGAATTTTTAATTTGATTATGGAGAACGACTATCTTCCATTGATATAATTGCTTGACAAAGGAACCAAGAGTACTGCTGTAAATCTGAATCTGAATCTGGAAATTACGTCCACTTCTTCAAAGAAAGTAATTTCAATCATTTATTTTTGGATCTTTTTGAAGTTGAAATTTTTAGCATGCTATATCATGTAATATTTGGTTTTATTTACAGTTTGCGAAACAATAAAAATAATGTTATCTATATCTTGAGAGGGAATATAATACACAAAGTTTTTGATAAAACATATGTAATATAATAAAATAAAATAAATGCAGAATTATCGTGAGGAGACACAATTTTGGAAACCATTTTGCTGTGACGTTTTTAAGGACGCTCAACGGGCATGTACATTTGCATTTCCGAGCCGGGTCAACCCTAGTCCCAGTTTGTACTGTATCGCCCGGACATTGGGTAAAAAAGTCAGACACTCAATAGGACAAGGTTGACGCGGTCAGACATTAGGTTGAATTTACTTTTACTTAAGGGTCAGAGGTACGTGAGACAGATGGAGAATTTTAAGCAAAATTACTGGTTCGACTTTGTGTCGAGAAACAAATTATTTTTGTTACATATTTTTTTTGAGATGTTTAACCCTATCCCTTCTGATGTACTTGAAAACCAGGATATGCTGGGGGGGGGGGGGG